ATATATATATATATATAAATAAATAAAATGTCAGACTTTGCTGTGTTAACTCTTTGCCACCAAACCATAACCCCTGAAAGGAATTGTCACTGAAGAGAACAATCCTTTTGATGAAACAAAACAAAACCCTCTTATATCTCTACTTAAAATTCAGTCATGAAATGCTGTATCAAAACTGTCCCCATTGACTGTATTTTCTTCATTGTATATATATATAAATAAATAAAATGTCAGACTTTGCTGTGTTAACTCTTTGCCACCAAACCATAACCCCTGAAAGGAATTGTCACTGAAGAGAACAATCCTTTTGATGAAACAAAACAAAACCCTCTTATATCTCTACTTAAAATTCAGTCATGAAATGCTGTATCAAAACTGTCCCCATTGACTGTATTTTCTTCATTGTCATATTCAGCATGCACAGTACAGCATGCAGACAACCAGAAATCTGTATACTGAAGTGGCCCTGTGAACACCTCCCCTTTCAACTGGAGGGTGCAGAAGAAGAAACAAGAATTCTGATATTACTTTTGACAGTCCTTGAGAATAGACATCTAACATGTTATATGCATTTAAGTCACTTTCGGCATATGGCAGCCCTATAAATGAGTGACCTCCCAAAAGTCCTGTCATGAACAGCTGTTTAGTTCTTACAACTGCAAGGATGTGGCTTATTTTATTGAGTCAACCCATCTCATAGTTGGACTTACTCTTTTCCTCTTCAACTTTTCCTAGCATTATTGTCTATTTCAATAAGTCTTGCCTTCTCATGATGTGTCCAAAGTATGACAGCATCAGTTTCATTATTTTTTGCTTCTAAAGATAATTTGGGCATCATTCAATCTAGAACCCACTTGATTTGATCTAGAACCCACTTGATTTGCATTCCATGGTGTCAGGAAAGCTATCCTCCATAATTCAATTTCTCTTCTTCTCAGCTTTCTTCACTAACTTTCATATATATGGATAAGTAATTAGAAGTATCATAGTATATGGATTATATTGAGCTTGATCTCCAGTGACACTAGCAGTTAATCCTTTTCTAGATCCAATTCACAGACTTCTTTTGATTTCCTGGCTGCAGTCTCCACTTGGATTGATGAGTGAACCAAGGTACATAAAATATTTAACAATTTCATTTTTTTCACTGTCAAGATTCAAGTTATGTACTTTTCCTCTAAATATGATTTTTGTTTTCTTAATATTTAGCTGAAATCCTGCTTTTGCATTTTTTTCTTTTGCCTTCATCAGGAATCATTGCCACTTTCTGCCAGTCTGTGGCTATGCACAACCAAGTTGGAACTGACTTACAGCAACCGTAATAGGGCTTTCAGGGTAAGTGAGATATTTAAGGAGGGCTTTAATCAACACCATGGCTGAGTTGGAATTTGAACTCAAGGCTCTTCTATGCCATCACTTTATCCACTACACCACACTGGGATTTTCTGCCACTTGCATTTATCACATATAATCCATTTCCCCATTTTGATTAAAGATATTATAGAATCAAAAACAAAAAGGCAAGTCTAGTGAGGCCCAATCTGTTTCAGTGTTGTTGCCATTTGAATTTTATTCCCCCCTCCAACTTACACAATCTGACACAAAATTACACAATCTGAATACTATGCTTACAAGCAATAGTATGTGCCACAGCCATGTAAATTAAATTCCAGAACATAGATAAATTACACAGAGAAGTGTCCTTTAGACTTAGGCTGCAGTCTTAAAAGAGCATCCTAAATAAAGACTTAAGAATTTTTCATGTCTTCCTCCATGGGGGGGGGGTAGCTGCAGGAAAGTTTGCAACCAATGCTCTTATACTGGGTTTTAAATTTTGAGTCACAGAAAAGCAAGCACATGGGAGTAATCATGAGGAATTATTTCTTTAGTTTTATACATTGAAAATCTATGGATCTAAGCAAAGTCATATACATTTTAAAAAGATAAATAAATAGAAAACAAAGTATGTTGCCCTTCAAGTAGGTGGTAGGTAGGACAACTAAGGTAAAGACTTGTAAAAATAAGTACGTTTTGACATATGTCTAAAAATAGAAATGTTGGAGCATGTTAAAGTTATATCAGAAGAGATTTTAGATACATAAGCACAGCATGTCCAAAAACGTGGGCTGGTGGAAGTATGCTGGCAGTCTTACAACTGCTGCAGTCTTTTCCCCATCCAACAGACTCAAGGGAAGAAATTTATTAATATTCCTGGTGAATGGGATGGGATGCCATGTTGAAAGATCAACATGCAGCCTTTACCTTATTCAGGTAAAGGTTAGTTGCGACCTTAACAGCTATCCAGTTATAATCCCTCGGGTTCTTCCTCCATCTATGTTCTAGCCTTCTCCTCATACGCTTCAGCGATCGGAGGGCACTGGCCAAGCTCTATGACGAAGAGGGCGTTTAGGCGCGATCGTGTCTATGGCCCTGGTGGCAGTGGTGGACTAGCTGTCAACTAGCGCCTCGACAGGAGTGCTAGCCAGGTCAGCCGTAACACCTCTCATGGCATCCTGGAACCCAACAGGATCCAGTAGCCTTCGAGGGCGGACCATAACAATAGGTCCCTGCTCCCTGCGAGGGGGGAGAGCCACTGTGAGGTTACATTTTATTAGGTGATGATCTGACCATGATAAGGGGACTGACACGAGGTCTGTCACCACCAGATCACATTCGTTCCAAGTGGAGGAAAAGACCAGGTCCAGTGTGTGACCACCCAAGTGGGTGGGGCATTGACATGTTGGGACATGTTAAAGGAAGCCATGGTTTCCAAGAACTCAAGAGCTGACCCAGATGCCTCTGCTCCCGCTTTTGATATACTAGCTTTAGGGTCTCCTCCTCCATTAAAAAGTTATACTAGTGAAATAGAAGCTCAGTAGTAGAGAACAAGCTATGCCACATAGCAGAGTATGAAAAAGTGTGCCTAAAAACCTTAGCAAATGGCTGTTATCTTAGTACCAGATATACGAGCTATATGATTTGGATTTATCTCTCTAAGTCACGGAGAACACATGGAGGCAATACAAAGCTGAAGGCAGAGCAGCTCCAGATCTCTTAGCTGCTGCTGTCACTTGTGTGAAAAAAAAGGAGAAAACCAGAGAATATCAAAGCAGCTTCAAATATTTGGTAAGTCCTCTGACTCACAAATACATGGAGATTTGGGACAGAGTTTTTTTTTGATCAGCCCATTTCTATCAGCACTTTTAAAATTAACCAAAGAAACTCTAATACATGGATCAACAGCTGGGATAAGCAACTGCTTGAGATGCGGCCAAAAAGAATTCACAAGAGACTTTGAGAAGAAGATACTTGGGCCCAGAAATAAAGTAGGAGAAAGGGCCTGGGAGAGCAGATGTCAATTGACTAATGGGAAAGTACAACTGTCTCAGTGCCATCTTCATTCTAACTATTTCATTTATTACCCTGTAGTTAGCATGACAGACCTTGATGATTAAAAGAATGTTAAATAAACAGGAAAAAGGAAGTACAAAGTTGCAGAAAAGCTAAACAAACAAGAACAAAAAAAATATGGCTACAAATGTTTAGAACGAATTCCACTCTTAACATAGTTTTGATTACTTATTAGGAGGTCTTATAAGAATCTTTAACTTACGGATGGATCTTAATGTAACATATTTAGTGTTGTGATAGCCCATTGTTCAACATTAGTATTTATAGGCTAGACACACTTTTCCTTGTTATGCTAAAAATTATAGCTATTTTAGCTATTACGTTATTTAGATTTTTGATCAACAATTATTTCTGCTGCTTATATTTTAAAGCCAATTCTTTTTTCCTGGTGCTTTGTAGGAAAAAGCAGAATGGGAGCAGGAAGTGAAGAAAAAACATATCTGGATTTGATAAAACACTTAGCCTATTAGGATAAATAACGGGTCCAAAATGATAGCATATGCATATGCTAATTAACAGAGCACACCTAGCATGTAATTTCTCCAAATTTCCCAATTATCATTAATAACAATATAACAACTACAGATGAGAATATGAACAAGAACAAAGATCTTACCCCGAAGATCGATGGTCAGGTTTATTTCTTTCAGAACGATCTGGAACAGAGAAGACATAACACCCAAAAGAAGTGTTAATTTAACTTTGCATTGTTCAAGTATGAACAAAGCATCACATCATATTTTACAAAACATTTTTGAAAGCTACATTTTATTTGCCCTCTTTAAGGAGTACTCTGCCTGGAAGGAAAGAAAAAGTCTATAATTTTTGTTAACCACAGTCTTTGAAACACGCCCTTCTCCATACTTGAGTTCACTTGTTTTTATGTTTAACAGATACTCTTTTTAAAAAATAACAGACTTCAGTTTTGCTAAAAAAAAGTTAGAGAGCAATGGAAAAGAAAACCACTGGATTAGTCAGCACGTAAAAATCATTCCATGAATCACAGCTGGCAAATTCTCTAAAAGGATGGGAGAAGTCAGTGGAAGCTGCAGTAATTCCTGCAAATACAGACTAAAACTGCTTTGCTTTAACTCTTTCAGTACATTTCTATACATGCCTACTCCAAAGCAAGCCTGACTGAATTCAGTCGTGCTTGTATCCAGATAAGTGTGTATAGGACTGCAGTGTAAACTGCCATTAAACTTGCCAACACCCAAGCCCTTCCATGTTCATAACTGTATTTCCATTTAGGGAGCTATTATTAGACCTTTTCTAGCAAGACTGAGAAGTTGAGGACTTAAATTGTACTGGGCAAAATAATTTGTACTTTTTTTCCTATTACACTCATATGTTTAATTTTATTTTGCAAAAGAGAAAGAGAGAAAGCACATCACTGAACACTGCAACAGAACGAATGATAAATGGCATTACTTCTGTACGTTAAAAGGAATAATCCTATTTAGGAAATAATACCATCTCCTCCTAAGCATTCAATATGCTTCCAGTTTCACTAATATTACAACAATACCATAGAAATAAAATGCTCTTTTTGTTTGCACTGTACCTGGCACTGTATTTCATCAAAGCTAACACACTGAACAACTAACTGCCTAAACTTTAAAGCTCCATAATAAAACTGTCTATATCACACCAGAAAAGACTTCCTTTTGACCTAGTAATTCAACCTTACCTTAGCTTACAGAGAAAACAGGCAGGCATTTCCTTTTAGGTTGTTTTCCATCTGATAGAGGAATTAAAAGTTTCTTGGATACTCAGACAGTTAACAGCAAGAAGTCAAGAGGGCTGTTCAAGTTGTACAACATCAACAGTGAGAAGGGAGAAATCGCATAACATGTAAACAGCATCTGAGAACTTCCCTCCAAGGCCTATTTCTGATTGGCAGCTTGATCGTGGCCAACCTCAAAACTGGAATGCTGTCATTCAGGAAGTGAATGTTATTCCCTTTTCCCTTTCATTCTTTGTTTAAACAGGAAATGGTTCGGATGGATGTGAAGAATTTATTGCATAAAACTGGACGAAGAATAGCATCCAACAGAAAACGGTGTCAACACACTTTCAAAGGAAGGCATAATTGTTATTTTCATAAGAATTATCCCACAAATAAATAAATAAAAATGCCAAAACCCTGCATAACTTAAAACATATTTGTTCAGGACAATACATATTAAATTTATTTTGGATGTAATAAAAGAGAAGGATGCCATTTTTGAAGGATAGTCACTCACTATATTTTCCTTTTGTGGCATGACACTTTCCCTCAACTTGATACTAATGAATCAAAGAGAGACTGGCTGGATAAAGCTCAACCTAAAATGTGAAATATTTTTACAGGCCTGGAAAACAAATAACTTTCGTTAGAGAGGAAAAAAAGCGGAAAGCAGCCAACTTTGTTCGCAAGTGTGTCAGACTTTAGGGGGAAATCATTTAAAAGTGACATAGTATGCACAGTATAACACATATACAACCCTCTTACCTGTTCCTTCAGGCTGTGACTATTAGGAGCAAACAGCATTACAATACATACTGAACAGCTAAGCAGACATTTAGGCCTTAGCAAGGTACACCATCAGGTTAGCAAACCTAGTATGTAATTTATGATAAAAGAGTTTAGCATTTAACAAAATGTCATTTTCAGACACTGGGAAATATAATATGATATGCAGATTGAAATAATAGCACAAATAGCTGCACTGACAGAAAATAAATTCCAACATCCATACTGATGTATTACCTGTTTTGCTCTCAGAGCAGATGTATGAACTCATACATGTTCTGAGCAATACTTGGAAGGCCTCTTTGGACTGTAGCAAAAGTCAGTCTCAACACAGACTCATCCAAGTAAACAACATTCAGGAGAATTTTATTTTGGACACACACAAAAATAAATGCCCCACAATTCTATTGGTGAATAGGAAGAATTACATAGAGCTGCAGAAATGGCAAACAAATACTGTATATCGTGGGGAAATGTTAGCTGAAAAGAAGCAAAACTCAAAAGCTTGAGAGGGCTGCAGCCTGGTGTAGAAATGAGAAAGCGGTCCAAAGGATAAGCCTTTGGAACTCTTGCTAGAGCATATAAGGAAGTCACAATGTGTAGAGAAAGTACTCCTGAAGACAAATTCAGGGGTGACAGATATTTCCTGCCCTTAGATTCATTAAACTTTCCTGAAGCTGGGAAGTGTTGTAACAACAGATGGAGCAATGAAAGCCAGCAGAAATCTTCGGCAGAATTCCCAAGAAAAACAAGGCAGATAAAAATCCTAGGACAGAACCACGATTCTGGGTGCAACGAAAATGTTTCAGGTAGGCCTGGTTTTTTAGAGATTTCAGGCCTTTAGAGACATCAGCTCAACAGAATGTTGTTGATGCTTCCTATGTAAGCTTCTAGGTGGCTTCACAAGGAGACAGAAGCAGCAGAATGAAAAACATAGCCATCTTATGCCTTTTTGTGGGACTCTGGTGGTTTCGGGTTCTAATTTGATCACAGTCCTGAAACACCTGGCTAATCCTTTCTGACAATCAAAGTATCAATAGAGTAGCCCAGGAAATCCACTGGGCTACTGCTAGGATGCTTCTGACAGTGTTTTTCTTGTAACCACTTTAGACTAATAAAGATGAATGGAGTTGATTTTTCAGTAGGATTTCCTAGCTTGTTGCTTGTGAGGTATTAAACTTGAATGTCTCACTCATGGAACTGTCTACTTTATGTCAGACTCTACAGAATGGGAGTCTTCACAGTTTTGTTTTTTGTGATTTCATATGGCTTGGAGGTTTGTTTTGAGAACTGATGATGTCATCAGCATGGCAATTTTTCAGAAATAAAAGATTTCCAATTTTCCCCTGATGGTTTCAAGGTTCTTGTGGAATCCCTTTCACTCACTGAGGGGAAATACGGACCTTGAAAGCAATGTTTGGCTCCCTTATGATCCTCCTGGTAGTCTGCTCTCTTTATGTGCTACTCAACTGCCAAGCTCACTTTCATGGAGCACATGTGCACATTTCTCTATGTACATTTTGGCTTTGCAAGCAGTTTCTTGTCCACAGAAGTGCAGATGCTTGTTAGGTCACTGACCTGTATGACAGATCTCTGAATGATATGCATAGTATCTTCTGGGATTTTATGCGGGGTGCAGAGCAGTCTTAGTACATTAGTATATTCTGTCAGTGCACACTAGGTGTACCACACTGGTATCTTTCACATCCAGTGAATGATGATGCACTGTCACACCCTGTAAAGACATGGGGCATTTAAAAAGTATACTATTTTTCAATTCTAATACAGGCAAACACTTCATTAAAAATCCTTCTAGTTTCCTGATACAGTACTAGTGCAGGCTTCCTTACACACAACAGTGGTGCCTTGACTTACGGACGCCCTGACCTATGAACGTTTTGAGTTACGAACAGCTCCAGACGCTAAATATTGCTTTGGGTTACGAACGGAGCTTTGACTTACAAATGAAAAAAAAAAACTTTCCTGCCCTTTTTTGACCTAAGTTCATCTTAGGTCAAAAGAAGAAAAAAAAGAAAACCATTCTCCCCCTAGTGGTAGAGTACGGATTAACCGGCTTTGCATTAGTTCCTATGGGAACTAATGCTTTGACTTACGAACCCTGCCTTGATATAAAGACAAAAAACAGCCGGAACAGATTAATTGGTTTTCAGTGCATTCCTATGGGAAATGGTGCTTTGACTTATGAATGTTTTGACTTACGGCCACTGTTCCAATATGGATTAAGTTCGTAAGTCAAGGCACCACTGTATTACATTTCACTGCATTCTCTTTCCTCACTGTGATCTCACTCTACTTTTCAAAGTCTGTCATGTATGTATCCAAACTCCACCTCAGAGTTCATGGTTGCCACAAGACATGTGACACTGCATTGTTACATACATACATGTTTCGGCAGTTGCAGTTCCCTACATGTACACAGCTTTGTTGATACAAAAGTAGAATTAATAAACAGAGTTATGCTCATTTTTCATCGTCTCTTTACCTCAAGCCCTTGCAGCCTATCCCATATTGTTTAGATAGTTTACTGATCTTCTGAAGATACTTTTAAAGCACAAGGGAATGCACTGATAAGAGGAGAATAGAACATTTCTCCAGGAGCTTTTTTAAGCTTATGGTTTTCAAGATCCAAGCCATTAATAAAATTATTACGAAACCAATTACTTTTATGGACATTCCTGGACAAAGCTATTTTGTGGAGATTTTCCAAGTAAATCTCATTGTGTTCTCAAGGAAGTATGCATTGAATTTCAGGAGTTAGCTTGCAGGCTAAAGATATAGATTAAATTAATTCTGGTTTCTCTAAGTAAATTAATAAGGTACAGAAAAGAAAATTGGATGTCATTTATCTCTATTTGGCTTAATGCAATTTGACAAATTATGGAAATAAACAAGCCTAAATATAAGAAATTGCAGGATGATAAAAGTTATGAGAAATAACTTAAATAACAAACAGGGTGGATAAAAATCAGTATTTTTTAAAATCAAATTTAGAACACTCTTTAAACAATTTTATTTTGCTTTAAATTGTGATGAAATCACAATTTGATTGAATCAAATCCACCCTGACAATAAAGATTCCATACAACATTAACCAGAATAAATTGTACTATGATTGGATGG